TGATTTCATTTTTTCCTGATCCTCTTTTGTTGCCAGTTCAGGGAGTCCAGGTGGTTGAGTATCAGATTGTTCCATCTCGTTTCCCTTTGGGGTTGCTATAGGTGATCTGGAAGTTCTTTTTGAGGCTTGTTTACGTGTCTTCTCATTTCCACAGGAGTGCACAGCTCACCTCCTCTGCCCTGGGAGTGGTGGAATGGCGGCCGGGGAGCCTCCCAGTGTTTGGTATTCTTATCCCAAAAATGTAGCCATCATTGCTGTCAGATTTTCCCTGTAGTGCTACAAAATGTGGTAACTGAAAATAAACCAAGTACAAAGAATTATTTAATAAGTTCTCTTTCATCTGTACTCCTGTCTTGTTTCCTGCCTCCTCAGAGACATTGTTATTGGTTGATCCTTCTCTTTCTTGAATCTTTTTCTCCTTTATACAAAAAAAGATGAAATTTATATTATAAAACTAACCATTTTAAAGTGAACAATTTTAAAAAGTGAGCAATTCAATGACAGTACATTTACAATATTGTGCACCTCTATTAAGCACTTGTACCACCCTGAAATAAAACTCTGTACCCTTCCACTTTTTTCCCAGCCCCTAACAACCACCAGTCTTAGTGGTTAAACCTTAGATTTAACTATTCTGGATGTTTCGTACAAATGAAATCATACAATATGTTAACTTTCACATCTGGCTTCTTTCACCTAGCATGTTTTGAAGGTTCGTCCTCATATATCAGTACAGTACTTCATTTTTTATGGCTGAGTAGTGTTCCATTGCATGTATATTTATCCATTTATTTCTCCACTCCACTCATTGGTTGATGGATTATTTGTTTTTACCTTTTATTTATTTATTTGGAGTGCTGGGAATTGAACTCAGGATCTCCCATATGCTAGGCAAGTGCTTTACACTAAGCTACAATCCCAGTCCATTTTCTAGTAGTGATTAAGAATATTCATGTACATGTTGGAATTTGTTTCACTACCTGTTTTCAGTTCTTTTAAGTATATACCTAAGAGTGGAATTACTGGACCATATGGTGATTCTATGTTTAACTTTATGAGGAACTACTAAACTGCCACTGGGGCCAAGCCATTTACATTGTCACCTGCAGTGTATCATGTTCTAATTTCTCCAGTCTTCACCACATTAGTTATTAACTTTTTTTTTTTTGGTACTGGGGATCGAACTTGGGTCCTTGTGCTTGTGCAGCAGGCACCAAAACCACTGAGCTAAATCCCCACCCCATTATTAACTTTTTTATTATAGTCTTAGTGAATGGAAACTGCTATCTCCTTTTGATTTTAATTTCCATAATGATCAATAATTTTTGTTGTTGTTTTTGTTGTTATTGTTTTGAGACAGGTCTCACTTTGTAGTTCAGACTAGCCCTGAACTCACTGTGTAGCCCAGGTGGGCCTCAAACTCACAGTGATCCTACTGTCTCAGCCTCCCAGGTGCTGGGATTACAGACATGTGCCACACTCCCAGCTTGATCAGTGATTTTGATCATCTTTTCATGTGCTTGTTGGCCATTTGTGTATCTTCTTTAGAGAAGTGACTATTTAAGTCATATGCTCATTTTTAACTGAGTTGTCCTCACGTTCCTTGTTGATCATAAGAGTTCGTTAAACACTCTGGATACTATACTCCTGTTAGATGTGTACTTTGCAAAAATTTTCTCCCATTCCATAGACTCTTTTCACTTTCTTTATATTACCCTTTGGCACAAAAGTTTTTAATTGTGAGGAAGTCTCATTTATGTATTTTTTCTTGTTAGTCATGTTTTCAGTGTCATACCTAAGAATTCTTTGCCAAACCGAGGGTCATGAAAATTTATCTTTCTGTTTTCTTCTAGATTTTTATGGCTTTAGCTTTTATACTCGGTCATTAATACATTTTGAGTTAATTTTTATACTTAGTGTGAGGTTAGGGTTCAACTTCATTCTTCTCCATGTAGATATTCATTTGTCCTAACACCATTTGTTAAAGAGACTGTTCTTACCCCCTACTGAATGGTTTAACATACAATTCACGACTTCTGACACATACCTTATACCCAATACTGAATAGCTATAAAATTATTGATTATAAAGAAAATTTTATTTCATCATTCCCTTAATTGACACAAGTGACACTTTGATCATGTAATGAGTAAATATTGTATAGGTAGGTCTTTTGGGAAAATTGTGTGTTCAATAAGTATCTGAGTAAAATGTCATGTTTCAGTTTAGCCTATTATGGAAGGTGTACTACTTTCTTTTTTTCTTTCTAGGTAAAGGATTTGTCTTCAGGCACACTTCTTCAGCAGCATGATGATTTGGATTTGGCTTTGGATAGTTGTTACAGTGGAGATACAGTAGTTATTTTTCCAGGAGAATATCAATCTGCAAATCTTGCTTTACTGACTGATGACATCATTATAAAGGGTTAGCAGGCTATCTTTGTAATTTTTTCCAGCAATATATACTCAGCTTGTGTATTATAAGCATAGCTAATGAAATTATTAGAAATTAGAATTTTATATTTCACAAAAATTCCTATGTACCTTTCACAGATAATATCTGTGAATATTTTCTTTCCCCCGCTTTTTTTTTGAAATGGATCTTGCTATGTTACATAGGCTAGTCTTGAACTGTTGGGCTCAGGCAACTCTCCTGCCTCAGCCTCCTGAGTGGCTGGGACTGAAAGTATACACCACCATGCCCAGCTGATCATCATATTTTCTACAGCTCCATATATATTTTTACCAAAACTTTTTTTCTTATCTATCTTCACTGCTCTTGATACCACTTAAGTTAAAGAAGAATCATATGGAGGACTACATTAAAATATACTCAGAATTTTCTCAAAAGGCTAATTCACAAAATAAAAAACAAAAATAGAGGGGCTGAGGATTTAGCTCAGTGGCACTGCGCCTCCCTCTCAAGCGCAAGATCCTGAGTTCAATCCCCAGGACCAAAAAAAAAAAGGAAAAAGAAAAATTTACTAAATTACTTGTTGACTAAAAATCTACCTATCAATTGAAAATTCAAGCAAAATTTTACTATATTGTGGTGATCATAAAGAGTACTTTGCTGAACTACATCTGTAATAAGAATACATATAATTTAAACATTTGTATCCTGCTTGAGTTTAAATTTAAATAACTGCTTTGACTATTCTAGAGCAAAATTATTGGTATTATTATATTAATCTAAGTTAAGAGTCTCTGCTAGTCTTTTTTATTAATGGTAATTGCAGTTGTTAAATCAGGTTAAGGTATGGTATTTTTTTGTATCTCAGACATTTTGTACATGACTGCTGATTATAAGACATAGAGAAATATTTAGTGGAATAAGTATGTCGAATAAATACTACAGGTACATTTAGATTGATTATAAACTTGGATTTTTTCATCATGACATTGAGATAAGGACAAAAAATTAGATTATAGTTAAATATTTACTTAGTTCACAATGAAACAGTTGTTAAATTTATGTATGTATATATAGTTAAAACATATATAAAGTATATAATATATAGTTAAAAGTATGTGAAAGGAAAAACATAGTACTAACAAGTATTATTGAATAACTAAAGGGCTTTAAAATTTGGGATTACTGATTTGTGTTTTTATCCCTATGCATCAGGAGTTGGAAAGAGAGAGGAAATTATGATTACTTCTGAACCTTCTCATGACAGTTTTGTGGTATCCAAAGCTGACAAAGTGAAACTAATGAATCTATCTTTGATACAACAAGGGACAGTTGATGGTATTGTAGTGGTAGAGTCTGGTCACATGACTCTAGAAAACTGTGTATTAAAATGTGAAGGAACAGGAGTATGTGTACTTACAGGGGCTACTTTGACAATTACAGACAGTGAAATAACTGGCGCCCAGGTATTTCATTCTATAAAAACTATGACTTTCCATGACTATAGATAACAATCTTGAGAGATCTTAGCATAGAAAGGATAACAATATCTTTGAATGGAACTATACTTCAACTTAGAAACTGGTAGAATTGAGAAAGTAAAGATCAGGAACCTGACCTTAAGATAAAGGAACAAGTTAAGAGAATTTAAAGTGTTTAAATTATCCATCTTTTAAAAAAAATAAAACTGGGCTCGTACCTGTAAAATGGGCCAGTGTGCTATGGGATGTGGGCCACCTTTTCCTGGCCCCCTCAAGAGAAGCATAAATGTTGCCAGTTTCAGGAAATAAGTGCCTCTCTCTTGTGAGGGCTTGTACTCTATTTCTTTGAGTGTGTACTTTTTTACTTATTTAATTTTTTTTGGTACCGGGGATCGAAGTCAGGTCCTTGCGTTTGCACAGCAGGCGGCGAAACCACTGAGCTAAATCCCCAGCCCCTGAGTGTGTACTTTTAAATTTTTGTCTAATAAATCCCTTTATGCCTATTAAAAAAAAAACTGGTAGAAATCAACAGAGTGTCATTAAACTGGAAGAGAGAACTAACTGCCTTAGTATCCAAACTAAGAAATTAGCTTTAAGTGTGATTTTTTAAAAATTAGATATCACTGCCTATAAATCAGATCACAAGTCCATATTTAATGGTTTATTTTTAAAGAAATAAGTACTTACAAGCTATCTGACATTGCTTGTAAGGTATTGTGATTAGTTCTGACAGCCTTTGAATAACTGGAACATAGAAAATTCTAATCTTCAGATGGCAATTACAAAGATCATTAAAAAGAACTAGAAAACAGAATGAGGAAGATTTTTTAAAAGTGGTAGAAAAACAAGCACTTTTTAGAATGACTTTTTCTTAATCCGCACTAAAATGGGAAAATATTGTAGCAGCATTATTGGGGGAGTCTAGTGGTTATGAATTTATATAGCCACTAAAACAATTGCTTGAGTTTTTAGCCTCTTTTCTATAGATCTCATTTGGGTGGGAGAGTCAGGTAATGGACTATCTGACCATAACCTTCTTTCTGTGGCTAATTGTCTAAAACAAACATTTAATTTTCAGCTTTTTTTTTTTTTTTTAAAACCAGAGATTGAATTCAGGACCTTGTACTTGCCAGGCAGGCGCAGAGCCACTGAGCTACATCCCTAGCCCTAATTTTCAGCATTTTAAAATGTAATCTCTACAGTAAATTCTGGCATACATTGTCATGTATTTCCATGTAATTTAGTGTTTAGATTGCCAGTACAGAATTACAGTTTTTGGGCTGGAAATATAGCTCAGTATAAAAGCACCTGTCTAGCATGTATGAGGCCCTGGGTTCAATCTCCAGTGCTGCAAAAAATAAATAATTACAACTTTCAAGTATAAACAATATTTTAGAGCATGATTTGGGTGTTTCATAAATTTTTTACCTTTAATTTACAGGGTGCTGGTGTTGAACTGTATCCTGGGAGTATAGCCATTTTAGAAAGGAATGAAATTCATCACTGTAATAACCTCAGAACCAGTGACAGTTCAAAAAGCAGCTTGGGTGGAGTTAATATCAAGGTATCATTTTTTTTTACCCTCCTCTGGTGCTGGGGATCAAACTCAGGACCTTGCGCTTGCCAGGCAGGCATGGCGCCACTGAGCTAAATCCCCAGCCCCCATCAAGATATCATTTTAGTTTTTAATATAAAAGTTGTTAAAATTTTAAATAATTATTAGGTACTAAAACTAATGTTTTAGTATTAAAATGTAGTCTAAATGTTATTGATTTGGAAAAGAAAAACAATATAAGGTAACAAAACATGATTAAATGATGGCTGATGGGAAACAAATTTAGTACTATAATTTAATAATTTCAACTTGAACTCTTAGCAAGTAACTTTGAATATGACAAAGTAGACTGGGTTTGCTTTTATAAAAATAGTTTGTATTATTCACTGATTGGATCTATAATGCCTTTGTTTTGGTTTTTGTTTTACGGGACCGGGGATCAAACTCAGAACCTTGTGCTTGCCAGGCAGCCGCTGCGGCACCACTGAGCTACCTCCCTGGCCCATCTATAATGCCTTTTGAGAGTAAAACAGAGAATAAATACTGAACACTTCAACTCCTTCAGAGTTGTATAAGTGATCTAAGCAAAATAATGAAAACATGAATAGCAGTGATTTGTAGTCAAAATGTCTTCCCAGTCTTTTCTATTTCTATAAACCCTATCTTCCTAGGTCCCTCTCTGGGCTTTGTGGTTAATAGGTTTTATACTGATAGTTTTCCCTAGATTTCTAATTCTTTTATTATCAATACACATTTTGTCTCCTCAGATTTTAAATTACTTAAGAGTACCCCTTATCTGAAATGCTTGGGACCAGAAGTGTTTCAGATTTGAGTTTTTGGATTTTTGAATATTCATATGTATATAATAAGATATCTTGGGGATAGGACCCAAGTATAAAGATGAAATTCCAGGCAGGGGATTTAGCTCAGTGGTTTTGCCACCTTCTTTGTAAGCACAAAGACCTGAGTTCCATCCCGGTACCAAAAACAAACAAACAAACAAAAGATGAAATTCCTTAATGTTTCATATGCATTTTCTACATACAGCCTAAAGGTAATTTTATACAGTATTTTAAGTAATTTTGTGCATGAAAAAAATGTTGCATGGTAAGGAATTTTCCACTTGTGTCATTTCAGCACTCAGAATTTTAGATTCTAGAGCATTTTGGATTAGAGATGTTCAACTTGTACTAGAAAACCTCCCCACCCCACCCTGCAGCATGAATTTAGATGCTAAATCAGATAATCGGCTAAAAATACTGAGGGCATGAGGGCAGTTTTATTAAATGTTTTTTCTTTCTCTTATTTATTTATATTTTTTGAAACAGGGTCTGCCCTTGAACTATGTAGCCAGACAGGCCTCAAACTTACAGTGTTCCTCTTGCCCCAGCCTCCTGAGTGCTGGGATTTTAAGCTGTAAACATTTTTTTCTGTTCTTAAGTATTTTTAAATTCTTTTAGTGTTTCTTACATGTTAGCATGCATCAGAACCACTCTTGAGAGACAAACCCTGGTTTCCAGTACAAGTCTGGGGGGATATCTAAGGACTTGTCGGACTTGTTATAGGAACTTGTCAGGTGCTGCTGATACTGCTGACCAGTGCTTTAAGAACCATATCTGGCTTGCTGCCTGCCCTGCAAGCGCAAGGACCCGAGTTCAATCCCCGGTACCAAAAAAAAAAAAAGAACCATATCTGGCTAACTCAGTGAGCCCTGGCAGTAGCACTAGAATCACCTGCTATTTTCTTAGAACCTGCAGAATTTTGAGCCTTACTTTGTACGAAATCAGAATCTGATTTTAAGCAAGATCTCCAAGTGACTTACATATAAAGTTTAATAAGGGTTATAAACTTTTATAAATGTTTGTAAAACCTGACAGGATCTCTCCCTTACCGTTTTTCCTCATCTCCTTCCATTCTTTCTCTTATACATTACATTCAAGCCACACTACTTTTTTGTGTTTCCAGAAATTATTAACTTTTTTCTGGCTGTTACTCCTACTTGAAATACCCTTTCTGTAGCTGCCTAAGTAATGAATAACCACCTCATTATTTACATATGAATATAATTGTCCCTCTTCAAAAAAGCCATTATGTAAAGAACACTCTTAAGTGGCAACCTCTCCCCAACTCCACCCAGCCATGCTATATTGCACTGACCTATTTTATTTTTTCCATGTCACACATTCTCTGCAATTATTTGTTTTCATGTTTTATCATGTTCTATTAGAGGTCACCTTCATATGCTGTTGCTGTATCCCCATTTAGAATCAGTTATTTTATCAAAACCAAAAAAAAATGTTGAAATTTTATTTAATATTTTTTCATTCCTTCATTTAATATATCCTCATTAAACATTTGTATTTACTATCAATGGGAAGAAACCACATTTGTTCAAAACTAGTCTTGTTGTTTTAAAGAAATTTGTTAACCCAAGAGTAAGTTCTGGAATAATTTTATATGTTTATACAAATTCTTTATCAGAATTATTGAAAACTAAATTTCCTTAAATAATTTAACAGGCTCTTCCAGCACCGAAATTGAAGATGACTAATAACCACATTTACAGCAACAATGGCTATGGAGTAAGCATTCTTCAACCAACTGAACAGTTTTTTATTGTAGCAGAAGAAGCTCTCAACGAAGGGGCTGCTTCAGGAGATAAGATAGATGATAAAATGATCTGCAAAATAATGCAAAACCTGAATCTGGAAATGAATAATAATAAAATAGAAGGAAATTTAAAGGGGGATATCAGAATAGGCACTAGTTAAAGCATCTGGATAAATGTTAAAGTTTTATACTTCAGAAATTTAATAAATAATTCTTATATCCCACAGATATGGTAATTTTAATTAAGTTTAAAGCTTATTAAAATATTAAAACATTAAATGCTTTCATTATTTGCTTTAACATATTTTAAAAATAACTGCTTTATTGAAGTATAATTCAAATAACATAAAATCCACCCTTTAAAAAGTATATAAACCAGTGCTGGGGATGTAGCTGGTAGAGCATTTGCCAAGAATATGTAAGACCCTGGGTTCATGTGCAAGCGCAAGGACCTGAGTTCGATCCCCAGTACAAAAAAAAAAAAAAAAAAAAACCCTGGGTTCAAAACGTTAAAACTGTAAAAAAAAAAAAAAAAAGTATAATCAGTACTTTTTTGTGAATTTTTACTGTGTAATATACTCATAATTAATTCCAGAAACATTATGGCTTTAAGCATGGTTTTTTTAATACTCATGTCAAAAAGTAGTCACGTGTTCTATACAGATAAATTTATGGTCAATTTTCAGTGATCTGTGTTAGTAATTAGACTAAGGTCATAGGTCACTATATTAAAATATTAGGTTTAACTGCAAGAAGAAAATCTAAAAAGAGATAAACAATATAAAAATGTTATTCCTCATATTCAAGAAGTACAGAGGTATAGGGCTGAAAGATATTTCATGTTGGTATTCAGTGTAGCTCTAGTAGGTGTTTCATATTAGAAATTCGAGCTTCTTCCATCTTGTTTCATTATTATATGGTTTCTGATAAAAATTACCATATGGGGCGGGGATTTAGCTCAGTGGTTCCACCCCCTGCCCGCAAACACAAGGTCCCGAGTTTGATCCTCATACCAAAAAAACAATATTACCATATGGTCCAAGATAGCAATTCTTATTCAAAACCATTATGTTCAAAATCCAAGCAAGAAGAGCACAAGACCTTTCTGCTAAACTGCACACATTATTTCAACTTGCATGCCTTCAGCTAGAATCTAATCACTTAGTTTAAATGGGACTAGAAAATTAATCTTTTTAGAAAGCCATTTGTCCTTTAAGGTAGAGGTTAATTTACTAAGAAACAACTATGGTCTTTTTACAATGCAGAATTTATATTGACCTAAGGATATAAAAAATGAGCGCTCAGGCATTTAAACCTTTGACATTTATCGCTTCACGGCCTTTTGGCTAAGATCAAGTGTAAACCTGTGACATTTACTTCTTTGTTTTCTATACTGCAGCAAAGGTAACCTGAAACTGCTACCGAGAATCTCAAGTCTGAGAATTGAAATTTAAAGGCATGGTTCTTCTTCAGTGTTTTACTGAACAGCATCCTGTCTCCTTTTGTTAAAGAACAATATCTGTAGACAATTCATAGGTTTTGTTCATACAAGGTCTTGTTTACACAAGGTTTTAAGAGCTTATTACAAAAGATAATACCAGGGATTGTCTATGGGATCCTTAATAGGATCAGCCTTTCTGCAATGAATGTAATGAGCAGTAAGGACTTTTGGAGTACACTTGCACCATCCTCAGTTTTTGGCTTCAGAAAGAATTGGTGATGGTAGGCAAAGGTAAGATCTTTGAGGGTAAATAGAATGAACAATAGCCTTGTGTGATCAAGCTCTTCACTCACTGATCATCTGCCTCCTTTCTATATTTGCCATTAGTTTCTAACCAATTTCTCTTTTCCCATGCCTACTTTAGACCACTGTGATACAGGTTTGTTTGGTTTTTTTTCCTATCTTATATCCTTAAAGCACATATAAAACATTTAAGATTTTTAAGAGTGTTTACAATTTTTTCTCTTCCACCTTTAATACCTCTCCTCCCATACCTTATAACAAACAAGGAATTTATGTATTGAATTTGTTTTCTGTTACTGTCATAAATTACCACATAAATAAATTACTACAAACCTATTGGCTTAACACACACTTCTGCATGAAAATAACTGGGCTAATGTAAGGTGTCAATTGGTTGGGTTTGCATTCTTTTCTTGATAACTCTAGGGGAGGATATTTCCTTGCTTAGCTGAGTTGACAATTCAGTTCCTAATGGTTATAGGACTGACATCCATTTTCTTCACAGTTTTCAGGAGGTTTCTGGCTTCAGGTGGGCTAATTGCAGCCCTTGGCTCACAGCCTCCTTCCTCCATCTTTAAATCTAGAACAGTGAATCAAATCCCACCCCTCTTCCACTTTTAAGGACTTCTGTAATTAGATTGAGCCTGCCTGGATAATCTAGAATGATCTCATTTCAAGAACCATAACTCAAATCATATTTGCAAACTCCCTTTTGCTATGTAGCACATATATTCACAAGGTGGGGATAAAGACCTAGACATCTTTGGGAGACTATTATTCTTCCAACTATCTTAACCAATTTTCTACCCAAGGGAAGATAAATCCTAATTCTATTCCTCAAATGGGATTTAAGAGTTTCCTCTACCATGACCAACTATCCAGTACAAATTGTATGTGTGTGCATTATTTTTGTTGTTTTTTGCTTGCTGAGAATTGAACCCAAAGCCTTATATGTGCTAAACTACCTCCTGTGCTATAAGTAGGGTGACTGTAGCACAGCTTGAATATATTTAAAAGATTTTAATTTAGCACCAAAAAGAGAGAAGGTTCTATATCTCCTCACCTTCTTTTGTATACACATTACCTGGTTTTCCTACTAGGCTGTAACTTTCTTCTACAGGAACTGAATCTAAGTAACCATTATATATCTACATTGTTCTGTGCACTACAAATCTTTTCAATTCTTTATTTTAAAAATGTTAGAAGCCAGGTGTGGTGGTATACACCTGTAATCCCAGCACTCAGGAGGCAGGAGGATTGCTGCAGGTTTGAGGCCAATCTGGGGTATGTAGTTCAAGGTCAGCCTAAACTACATAGTGAGACCCTATCTCAAAAAATTGTGAATCTCCACCTATGCAAAAGACTGAGCTGAGATTTTACAATTTAGAAGGATATTTTGTCACAGGTCCTGGGGATAGAAATGCTGATATTCTAGAAGTGAAGATTGGACAAATCAAGGCTAGATGAGTAGTTGTGGAGTGGGATGAGTTGGAATGATTCAGAACTCCTTTTTGCCTTTTCATAATGAGCATTTGTAGGGTGAGTGGAGATTTCCTTCCCTCTATTGTGCCAAATAGCTGCTGGTTGTGGAGCCTCAATTGGAGGGCAGATGGGAGCAACAGGGATAGACTCTCTTGTCAGTTTATGAAGAGGCAATTTAAAAAATGGAAGGTGTCGGAAAGATATGCCTAAATAACACAAGATACATGGCAAAATGTCTATGATTACAGAAGCTGTTTCCAAGCCAGCAATACATGTATGTTATAAATTGAACAGTTAAATAAATAGTATATCTGAAATCCACTTGCCAAAGATTAAAACTAGACTCATATCTTTCACCATGCCCTAAACTCAAAAATGGATCAAAGATCTAAATATTAAAATAATCTGCTACAAGATAAAATAGAACTCTCAAAGACTGGTGTAGGCAAAGACTTCATGAACAAAGCCTCAGTTGCCCAGGAACTATCACAAAGAATCAACAACTGGGATCTCATCTTATTAAAAGCTTTTGCACAGCAAGAGAAAGCACCAACAGAGTGAAAAGACAATCCACAGTGTGGGAAAAAAAATTTTGCCAGCTATTCCTCAAAGTACTAATATCTAGAACTCATATAAAGAACTCAAAAAATCAGACCCCTCAAATTTAAAGACCCAATCCAAAAATGGGCATCTGAAATGAATAGACACTTCTCAGATGAAGAAGTAGAAACAGCAAATAGATACATGAAAAAATGTTACACTGCCTGCTTTGCAAGTGCAAGGACCGGAGTGCGATCCCCGGTACCAAAACAAAGTTCAACACTGGGGCGGGGAATTTAGCTCAGTGGTTCCAGCACCTGCCTTGAAAGCGCAAGGTCCTGAGTTCAATCTCTGATACCAAAAAAAAAAAAAAAAAGCTTTTGGGCCGGGGATTTAGCTCAGTGGTTCTGGAGCCTGCTGCACAAACGCAAGGTCCCGAGTTTGATCCCCAGTACCAAAAAACAAAACAACAACAAAAGTTCAACATATTGGTCATTTGAGAGATGCAAATGAAAACACGCTGAGATTTCACCTCACCCCAGAAAGAATGGCTGTTGTCAAGAAATCAACCAATAACAAATGCTGGAGGAGCTATGGGGAAAAAGGAACCCTTCTCCACTGTTGGTGGGAGTGTAGACTGGTGTAACCACTGTGGAAATCAGTGTGGAGATTCCTCAAAGAACTAGAACTGGAGGTTCCATTTGACCCACCTATTCCCCTTCTTGGTATCTTCCCGAAAGAATTAAAAGCATCATACCACAGTGACATATGTACACCCATGCTTATAGTAGCTCAATGCATAATAGCTAAAACTTGGAAACAGCCCAAATGCCCATCATCCAATGAATGGATAAAGATGTGGGTTTTTTATACAATGGAGTATTATTCTGCCATAAAGAAGGATAAGACTGAGACATTTATACCTAAATGGATGCACCTTGAGACTATACTCTTAAGTGAAATAAATCGGACACACATGTTAAATACTGCATTGTTTCTCTGGTGTGAAAAACTGAAAGTGGAAATAAGGACTAAAATGTACAATGGACATTGGGAAATGTGAAGAAAATGTTCAAATGAGAAGGGGAACAAGGGAGGGGAGAAGGTAAAGGAAAGAAAGGACAAGAAAAGAAAAGTGAAAAAATGGAAACAAAGCTTTTGTACATGAGGGGATGGGGAATAACAAAGAAAAAGCAAGATATATCATGTACTCATACAAATTCCCTATGAATGTTATCATTATGTGTATCTAAAATGTACCAATAAATGTTTTTCTAAAAAATAAAAAAATTATCACACACACACACACAAAAGACTTTTTTTGTTCCTGTGATGGACTTCTGGTACTTTGAGTATAATGTGATGTGGAAGAGGTTCTCTTTGGTCCTGGCTATTGAGGTTCTGTATGCTTACTTACCTGTATATTTATTTCTTGTCCTATATTTGGGAAGTTTTCTGCCATTATTTCTGTGAACAA